GCAACTACAGAATAATTTTTATTCAGAAAGGCAAATTGAAATAGCCACTAAACAAAGTGAGAAAATAATCACTGAGGATAATAAAACAGTGTGCACATACAAGAATATAATTATACTGTTTGAGCTAGAGCTTGCTACGGCACGTGACAAGTCACGCCGGAAAAGAAGACACAACCCCAAGAGTTGGAGGAATGAGGAAATTAAGAGAGCCATAGCAAAAGGTCAGCAAGCCTCTAGGGAACACAGCCTTGCAAAGCAGCGGGGTGAACCGAAGGTTGATGTGAAAGAAAATGGAAATCTTTCTAAGCTGTAGAAGGGATGCATCCCTTCTCATCAATGAAACGATTAGAAGAAAGGGAGCTCAGTGGCTGGCAGAAGTACATAAAAAAGATAGAAGGGCAGCTGCGAAATTTTTCAACAATCTAAACTCCCTAAGAAATGAGACGAGCCTAGAGCAAGGGTTTATAACTACAGCTCAAGGTGCTAGGCTAGAAGGGGACGAAGCTATTGAATATATAGAAACGAGGGTGACAGTAAAATTTCAACAAAGTGCTTTATGCACCACAATAGACAAGGATGAATCAAGTGGCGCAATGGCTCCATTTTCACAACGAGAGTGGGGAAGGGCTGAGAAAAGGGTTCCGTGTAGTACATCAACAGGCCCAGATGGCATTCCAATTATGCTGATAAAGGCATTAGGTTCGAAGTCTAGGCAGGCTTTGAGAGAGGCAGTGAACAAAATAATAATCGATGGAGAAGTTTTCGATGGATGGAAACTTAGCAGGATGAGCATGATCTATAAAGAAAAGGGGGACAAAGTTGACATAAGCAACTACCGTCCTATAACAGTGACATCAGTGGTCTACAGGATGGCGATGCAGATTATAAAGGAAAGCCTGTAGGCATGGATAGAGGATGACGGGGTGCTGGGAGAACTACAGAATGGGTTTCAGAAACACAGGAGGTTGGAATACAATCTGTTCTCACTGACGAAGTGCATCGAAATAGCAGAAAAGGAACACAGGCCCCTGTGGCTAGCATTTTTGGATATCAAGGGAGCGTACGATAGCGTGGAGGAAGAGGAATTGTGGGGAATACTGGACACACTAAGCGTGGAAGATGTAGTCACTAATCTTTTAAAGGATATCTGTAAAGGTAACAAGGTAATTATAAAGTGGGAAAAACAGGTATCCAAGCCTGCAGAGGTTAGGCAGGGGTGTCCCCTGTCACCCTTGTTATTCATGATATACTTACACTGATTAGAGGCCAAATTAGAGGGAAGTGCACTGGGCTTCAACCTCTTTTCGTCAAACAAGAACAACTCATTTAACAGGCACTACCAGCATTGATGTACGCAGATGATATAGTGCTAATGGCCGACAACAAGGAAGTTTTGAAGAGATTGGTGGACATCTGCTGTAATGAGGGAGATAGGTTAGATTTCAGATTCAGTAAGGAAAAATCAGCAGTCATGATTTTAATGACAATGAAGGCAGTGAGCTTAGAATACAGGGTGCCATGCTTGAGATAACAGATAAATACAAATATCTGGGCGTATAGATAAGCAACGGGGCCGAGTACCTAAGGGAACACGAAACATACCTGACGACTATTGGTAACAGGAATGCAGCGGTAATGAGAAACGGCACTGTGGAATTACAATAGGTATGATGGTGTGAGAGGAATATGGAAAGGGGTGGTGGTTCCTGGTCTGACGTTCGGCAATGCGGTCTTGTGCATGAGATCAGGAGTTTAAACAAGATTAGAAATTAAGCAACGTGGAATAGGTAGGCTTGCCTTAAGAGCTCACGGGAATACACCAACTGAGGGAGTACAAGGTGATATGGGATAGACATCATTTGAGGGCAGGGAAGCTAGCAGCAAGATAAAACTTGAGAAGCGATTGAGAGAAGTGGGGGAGGAGCGTTGGGCTAGGAAGGTATTCAGCTACTTGTACATGAAGAACGTCGATTCAAAATGAAGGAAGCGAACCAGAAAAGTGACTGGTAAATACTTGGAAAAGAGCAGATGGCCAAACAAAAAGAATTATCGGTTAAGAAGAAGGTGCAGGAAGCTGAGACCGATATGTGGAGAATTGGCATGAATAAGAAGTCCGCACTAGAGATGTATTGAACTTTTAAGCAGGAAATTGCCAAGGAAATGATCTATGATAATACTCGGGGTAGTTCTCTACTATTTGAGGCCAGGACAGGTGTATCGCGAACCAAGACATATCGGGCCAAATACGAAGGGGTAGACACAGTATGCAACGCGTGTGGAGAGGAAGAAGAAACTGCCGAACACTTGATAATGTTCTGTAAAAGGCTTCACCCAATTGTTCAGGATGATGGCGCAGAGTTTTTTAAAGCACTGGGGTTTAGGGACAGCGAGGGCAAAATAGACGTTACGCGGGTAGAATTAACTAGAAGGAGGTTATCTGATTGGTGGCTAAAGTCAAGGCACGAGTGAAGTTTAAACTCTTCACTGCAAAGTACGAATCCCCACCCTCACTATTGAAAGCAAAAAAATTAATATAGTTTTTGGTTCATTAAGTATTACGGCTTGGTGCCGCTAGCCACCACTCGATCTAAAGGGTACAGCCATATCCATCCATCCATCCATCCAGCCAGCCAGCCAGCCATCTATGCAGCAAGACACAGGCGCTGATAGCGGCGAGCTGAGCGTGGTCAGTCGATCTACTGACAAGTGGCGAAGCGCGTCGGCATTGATACACTTGCCATGGATTATTCTAGCGTTATCGCTAACGGCGCCGTAGGTTCAAGAGTAATCTGTAATGTTCACGAAGTGGGCGTAATCTTAACAAAATGATGTACTACAGCCTCGAAGCTTTTCGAACATCGTAAAAGCGGTTTGCAGGGAACGTAGTATAACAAGGGTGAAAACAAAATTTGAGGAAAAGAACGTGGCAGTATTATAGCTATGTCTGTAGAGATTGAGACTGCTACACTGTGAAAATTGAAGACGCTCTTTCACGCATAATGCTAAAGGTATTGCGGTGCCGAGTAATTCCGTGAGCAAGAATACAACTGTCTCCTTAAGAAGTATCCTCTTCACGGAAGTCATGCTTCAGCATGGTTACCACAGAACAACCCGTAACTATATTATTGAAACAAATCATATTCCGTGATTAAAATACAAGTTCCTTCGAACAAGGCGTTCCTACGTATTCTGTACGTTATTGCAACTAATACAAAAATGTTTGTATTGCTCCACACAACAGTCTGTTGTGTTGTTCCGCACAACAGTCTGCTGTATTGTTCAGCACAACAGTATGCCACACCACAGCTGTGCCATGCAGCCTGCTTGCAAAATATAGCAATGGAGGACTTCATGTATGTTTCGCGTGCCTGTGAATGGGAGTTATTTGTGTTGTTTGATAAATTTTTGTTGGCTGGACTTGCTATTAATCTAATTTCTGGGCACACTTTCATCTGCAAGTAAACAGAGGGTTCATAGAATGATTGAAACGTATTATATTTTTTGCACAAGTAGCTTGATGTTGTGGAAATAATGCAGTCATTCATGACTAGCTCCCTAAAGTAGCTGTTTGTTAAGTACACAATTAACACCAAATGGAACAGGAGTCAAGTTGAACAAATTTCTACACAAAGAACACAAGAGTGAATTATGTAGCAAACAAAGGCACAAAGAGTACACGACGTGTTTATAGAGCTAATCGCAGCACTAAATTGACGAAGACGGAGCAGGCCAAACATACACAAGCCTGTTCTATCATTGTGATTTGAAGTGCTACGTTGAACTTTTGAAACGTTGAACTACGTTGAAATTTTACACCAACAAGGCCAAACATTTACCCGTGCTAAGTTCACACGGCATCCTTTCTTTCTCCATTTTGCAGGTTTTTTCTTTGAGCCATTCTGTACATTCTAAGATGTTCCAAACTATGTGGAAATTATTTAGTGTAAAACGTTTAATTGGACTTGGAAATAATAAAGGTGCATAGAAGTGTTCCCACCTATGCAGGTAGCAGTTGCAGCATATGTTGCCAACAAGTCAGTGAAGGTGCACCAGTTTTTTAGCAATACATGTCCTCGTAAACATATTGTTCTTGGAAGGTAATGGTTGACAACAAATAAACCAATATTCCAAGTCCCCTCCCAATAATCTGTCTCCAAGCCACTTTCAAGCACTGTTGATATAGAAGCTATACCTTGTTGTTCAGCATTCAAAGTCAGTCTTAAAACAAGCTGCACTGGTGGCAATAGCAGCATCCCCCTTTGCAGTTTTTAAACCTCTCAACTCTTTCTGCCCACTTTGCCATTAGGAGTGGCGTTACAATACACAATCTACTATGTAGAAGATCTTACTCCTATCATGCGCAGGTGCGCGGTCCGTGAACGTATATTTCAAGGTCTACCAAAAAGCACTAAAGGTTTCAGTGAAGTCATCGGTAAAGGATATTGCAAAGATTGCGATGCAACTTCCATGGGCAAAATAAATAAAACATGGTCACGAAAACCTAGAGAACGTAAAGAGAATGTTGCTTAAAGTTTACATGCAACATGTTCTGACACAGAGCTTGTTGAATGCTGCTGATTGACAACACAGAGTCGGTGCTTGAACAATTACAATACGCCACCTCGTGTACAAAGATGAGAAAATAGAAAAAGTTTGGAGTCGCGGTTTATTCGTCACCAAGTATCGGCTTCCAACAACCCCGGCCATCTATCTATAAATGTTTACAAGAAAACATGTGACCAGTGGACTGGTTGAACTTTGCACACCTATTGCCAGCATATGCTTGGAACGCTACCTGCATAGATGGCAAAGCTTTCATGTCATTTTGTTATTAATTGTTGTGCAAGGTCAGAGTAAACAATTCACGGTTAAGGCAGAAATGCAGTGTGTGTGTGGTGACGGTTTGTGTGTGTTCACTGTGCTGCTTTATCTTGCAGATGTGTGAGTCATACCTGCTTCAGCATTCTAAAAGAACAATTAAATGCACTACTACACGGTTGTTCGAACAAAACTTTAGCAGATGTATTCAGATACATAATTGTCAAACGTGCTGAAAGCCCACTAATAAAACTGTGTGCATGGCCCGTAAACAGCTCCACTTGGCTCCTTTCTGTATGTCTGGAAAGGAAGTACAAAAAAGAGGTATTGTAGCAGAAGAAATGTTCAGAGTTTAAACCACTATGGTGTCTATTACGTCCATCACCTCTGTTCACATCACTATTTCACGAATCAAAAATGCAGGCGGTATTTCAGGACATGAACTGATCACATACAGAACAAGCAGCAGGATGCTACGAAGAAGACTTACTGCTATAGTAGACAAGAAATCAGCGTTAAACACACGAAATCCTAACCACAAAAATTGATAGACTAGCATAACAAATTCCATTTAATTAGTGCCATGGTGTGGCAGTTACAATTTCTGTAACTAGTGTAGTGGGGAATTCGCAAGGCACTGACTAGTGGGACCATCTCTGAGTGCGCAAGCGCGAGCGCGTGCACGAGCTGTAGACGCTGGGCTGCTCGAGCATTTGTGTCCGTACCGGCTGCCCGCCTACTACCTGGCGTAGCTATTAAACTTCCTTGCAAAGTTGTGGAAGTGTGCTGGGTACGCAAAACTGGAACTTTGAAGCCAGAAGCTGCCCACTGCATCAGCAATGCCTGATAAGATGAACGAGCTGGCCCCACCCTGCAAAGCTCGGCCGAGTCTCAACAGATCATCGTACCCACCACCCTGCGCCAATTAGATCCCCCTTCTTCAGCGGCACCGAGGACCACGATGTGGAAGACTGGTTGCAGCTGTTTGAAAAGGTGAGTGCCACCAACAAGTGGGATGACCCCTCGAATTCGGAGTATGTCCCGTTTTATCTCAAAGACATCGCCAGCCTGCGTTCACAAACCACTGTACTGAATTTACCACTTGTGCCACTTTCAAGACCACCCTTTCAGTGGTGTTTGATGTCCTCGCAGTGCCAAACTGCGTGCTGAACAGCGCCTAAGTGGACGAGAACAAAGGTAGGGCGAAAACTTCACTAGCTATATTGAAGATGTTGTCGATTTAGTCGGCCCTTTAACCCTGAGATGACCAAACAAGACAAGATCAGGCATATCTTGAAAGGAATAGACCATGATGCCTTTCAAATGTTGCTCGCAAAGGGCCCAAGTACCGTATTTGAACTTGTGACCTTGGGCCTGAGCTTAGAACAGATTCGCAAACAACGTGCACCAGTTCGGAGGTCGACGACAGCAGACGGCTCTCTCACTACCCTGGCAGTCGGTGGTGACAGCACCCTGCTTGAGCAGATAAAAGATGATGTACGCGAAGAGGTCGCATGACAGCTTTCGTGTCTCTCGTATTTGGCGACCATCGAAGCGCCAACGAACCGCTTGATGGCGACAATCACACAGGCTATTTAGCAGCAGGTCTCCGAGGCGTTGCCATTACCTACGTCTGCCTCTCCACCAACACGTGTTGCCACGCCACTGACTTATGCGCCCGTCGCGGCAATGCCTCCACCTGGTCTGCCATTGTATACGCCACAACCTGTGCGACCTTCCACCGCACCGTTTCCAGCAACACAGCAGCATGCCGGAAATCCTTGGCGCATGGCTTACAACTGGTCCATATGTTACTTTAGCGGAATTCCAGGTCATGGAGCACGTCTATGTCGTCGGCGCTTCGCAGTAAATGCACCTAGATACCCAGCTACTCGTTTCCGCCTCCATACCACGTGCCTCACGTGCTACCTGCAGTTCACGAACGCGATGCGCAGGCTGCTTCCGGCACCCGAACCTCCGCTTCTCGACGTTTTACTTCCCGCTCGCCTTCCCCTACAACAAGTCGTCGTTCTGTATCGCCTATGCGTCGACGATTCACTTTCATTGAGAGGGGAAACTAACTGCCGCAGCTCCGGGGGCACAAGCTGCGTCATCGTCTAATCGTTTGAGTCCTCACCTATCTCCCACCAATTTTATTGATGTAATCGTCGAAGGTGTACAAACACTTGCACTCATCAATACCGGTGGCGCGATATCTGTGATTAGTCAAAGACTCTGCCGCTCTCACAAAAGTGACGATGCTTTCACCCGTGGTTTCTTTTAGCACTGCGAGCACCCAACAAATTTAGCCCGTCGTTGCACGTACAGCAAAAGGGGTTATTCGAGACGTGTTCTACATCATTGAATTTCACGTGTTGGCTTCATGTTCCAACGATGTCATCCTAAGGTGTGATTTCTTATCTCGTCATCACGCCGTCGTGGACTGTGCTAGGGCCGAAGTGGAGCTGTTACTGTTTCGTGATGCGCCTTCTCTGATGGCCGTATCTAGTGTGGTTAACCTTGTCGTCACTACAGACATAGACCTTCCTCCTTTCAGCGCCCTGTTTGTCCCTGCCTGCTGCACTTCACTTTCTGACGCTACCATCCTATTCACGCCATCTGACATCTTCTGTAGCTGCCACCACACATCGCTGCCATTCGCCGTTCTTGCGCTTTGTCAAGACACTACCGGAATATTTATTTCCACTCGCTACTCATGCCCCCTCAGTTTGCGCCGCAACGAGACGCTCGGCCACATTCAGCTTATAGGTGAAGGTACTATCGTGCCTGCCGATTTCTTCGACACCAAGTCGAATATGGAGCTGAACGCGTCGGTTTTTCACTTTGCCTCGAACAGCGTGTCGTTCGATTTGTTTCACCGTTCTATTGACAGCAATCTCGCCCCGGCTCAACGAGAGCAGCTTGTTACCCTGTTTCACGAATTCATGCGTTCGTTTGACTTTCCCCAAGCGATGCTATGAAGAACGAACACTGTTGTGCCCACAATTGACACAAGAAAGAGTACTCCTTTGCGCCAGCGTCTCTATCATTTGTCCCCAGCAGAGCGTCGCGTAATTGCAGAGCATGTAGACGACATGCTACTGCGTGGAGTCATCAAGCCTTCTTGTAGTCCTTGGTCTTCACCAGTTGTACGTGTCAAAAATAGGATGGTTCTATCCGGAAACAAAAGTACAAGGAAAGATGTTTGCCCTCTTCCCCGCATAGACGACCACCTCGATTGTCGCCAAGGTGCAGAATTCTTTTCCTCGCTTGACCTTCGCTCAGGTTATTGACAGGTTCCAATGGCTGAGTCTGATCGTTCAAAAACAATAATCTTCACACCGGATGATCTCTATGAACTTATCGTATCACCAATCGGACTCTGCAATGCGCCCGCCACATTCGAGCGGATGATGTACAGCATTTTATGCAGTCTCAAATGAAACATATGCTTGTGCTATCTTGATGACGTTGTGTTCTTTTCACCCAATTTCACTTCGGATCTCACTCGTCTGCGTAAGATTCTACAGTGCCATACAAACGCCAAGCTTCAGCTTAACTAGAAGAAATGTCACTTCAGGGCTTGACAACTCACCATACTTGGTCATGTCGTCTCGAAAGCCTGCATCCTTCCCGACCCTGACAAGCTTCGTGCTGTTGCCTAATTTCCTAAGCCGACTACAGTTAAAGAACTACGAAGCTTTGTGGGCCTGTGCGCCTATTTTCGTCGGTTTGTCCGGAACTTTGCTTCCATCATCGCTCCGCTCAGCAAACTCCTTGCTGGCCCTGCAGATATTTCGAATTGGACAGCAGCCTGTTACGAACCCTTCGCAACACTGCGCCAACTCCTTACCTCACCACCCGTACGGCGTCTATACTACCCTACTGCGCCGACCGAAATACACACGAATGCAAGTGGCATCGGCCTTGCTGCAAAACTCACGCAACGGAAACCAGGTTTTACAGACTATGTGGTCGCCTATGCCAGCCGCGCCCTCACTAAGGCAGAAGCTAACTATTTTGTTACGGAAAAAGAGTGCCTGGCGATTGTGTGGGCGTTAAAAAAGTTTCACCCCCCCTTTGTACGGCCAAACTTTTGATGTGGTAACTGATCATCCCGCACTCTGTTGGTTGACTTTACTGAAAGATGCTCTGGTCGCCTCGGACGTTGGGCGCTACGCCTCCATGAATTCGACATACTCGTCGTCTACCAATCGGGGCGAAAGCACTCTGACGCAGATGCGCTTTCACGATAACCCATGAAATCTGATGATATGAAAATATCAGCCCTTAAACTTTCCCTCTCTGCCGTCAGCGTCACACACATGCCATCCGAACAGCGGAAGAACCCTTGGATTGTCTCGCTCTTGAATATGCTTTCTGACGCATCAACTTCCGGTTACCCGCGTGCTCTTCGCTGGCAAGCAACGCATTTTGCCATACGGGACAGCCTGTTATACCGTCGCAACTATCAAGTGGTGGGTCGTCAATGGCTGCCAGACATACCCAGTCATATTCGGTCTGATATCTGCGAATATTTTCATGCTGAACCGCAACAAGCACACGCCGGTGCGCTAAAGACGTATGAGCGGATCTGCCAACGTTACTACTGGCGGAGTGTGTACACGTTTGTGCGCAAACACATTCGCTCATGTTCCCTGTGTGAGCAGCGCAAGACATTTCCTCATTCACCCGGTCAACTGCAGCCTTTACCATGTCCTGCACACCCATTTGACCGTGTTGGGATCGACTTTTACGGCCCGCTACCGTGCTTTGTTAGGGGCAATCAATGGGTGATTGTGGCTGCCGACCATCTGACAAGGTACGCTGAAACGGCAGCGCTACCTTCGGCTGGTGCTCGTGACGTTGCAACCTTCATCTTGCATCGGTTTGTTCTTCGTCGTGGTGCACCATGGGAGCTCCTGAGTGACAGGGCCTGCGTAGTTTTGTCCGAAGTTCTGCAGCAGCGGTTACGCTCATGCCATATGGTACACCGCACTTCAACAGCCTACCACCCTCAGACGAACTGCCTAGCTAAACGTTTCAATAGAACCCTGAGAGCCATTCTCGCTATGTATATTTATTCCGACCACTCCAATTGCGACGTTGTTCATCCTTTTGTGACGGACGCCTACAAAACGGCAATTTAATCAGCAACAAGCTATTCTCCATTTTCTTATTTTATAGGATCGTGACCCATGCAGCACATTCGACACATTTATGTCATACAATCCTGATGCCTCCGAGTTCAGCCCAGTTTCTGAAATGGCCGAACATGGCAAACAGTGTCATCAGCTTGCACGGTCTTTCACAGGTGATAATCAAGCCCTCCAAAAGATCGCCACGACCGTGATCTTGTTCAGGACACTTTCCCCGTCGGTTCTCTCATGTGGCTCCGACTGCCTTTCCGCTTTCCTGGACTGACTGCCAAGTTTGCACCAAAGTATACAGGGCCTTACCGCGTCATACAGCACCCTTCTTCTGTCACCTATGTGATTGAAACGCTCAAGTCGTCCACGGACAAGCGCCGCCTTTCTCGTGACCTGGTCTACGTCAGTCGACTCAAGCCCTGCTACGACCCTCCTGTTCTCTCGTCACCTTGAGTCGCCAGGATGGCTCGTCTTCGTCGCCGGGGCATTGAAGTGGGGAATTCGGAAGTCACTTACTAGTGGGACCATGTCTGAGTGCGAAGCGCGAGCGTGTGCACGAGCTGTAGCCGCTGGGCTGCTCGAGCATTTGTGTCTGTACCGGCTGCCTGCCTACTACCTGGCGTCACTATTAAACTCCCTCGCACTAATAACATCAAGCAGAGGTATTTAGGCGAACAAAAAAATTTTGCATTATATAATTAAATGTTACAGAAGACAAAGCAAATTGTAGACCACAGAAAAGGCCTTCGCGCAGCAGTGAACATATTGTAACGTCACCTTTGGAGCGAGAAACAGAAGCTGTTAGATAGGAGGATCAGGACTTCATTGTCATTTTCGTAGCCAGAACTCTGTCACTGCGCGTGACAGAGTGCTGGATGGGTACACGTCGCCTTATTTATAACATAATGATGGAGGTATTAGCATGATGAAGACATTGAATAATGCATCAACACAAATGGTGAGCATTAGGTTAGGAAGCAAGGCTTACATACATAGTTTTTTTAAAATCCAATGAACATTACGTGACAGTTGTAGACATTATTATGGCAGGAGGTTACCTGAAGTTAGGGACTTGACTCAGTGTCATATCGCTAAATTAGTTGTGTTGTTCGAGCCAATGCTTGAATAAGACAATTCGTCTAAGTTGGGGCGGGAGCCTTGATGCAATTTGCTGTCTCGGTAAAGAACAGTTCTGTTGTCGACTAACAAGCTCTAACATTCGTTCAATGATTTTTTCATCAGGCATACATCTCAACCCATTCATTAAAAATTCTCAACTTTAACAAATGCTTCTATTGTAATGATACTGGGTGCAAAACTTAAGCTCCAGAGGACAAGGCATTTAGCAGGGATCTGGCAGCACAACACTTTCATAACACTACGTACGTGATGCTAAAAATGAGTGATTCAACAAGAGTACATCCATTTACGAGAGCAGCAAACCGTATCAAGTTTAGTGCTACGAATTATACAAACAATTTTTCTTCAAACATTCAAAACAACCTAATCTTGAAAAATCTTGATTGGCCCCAAGAACAAACTTTTTTAATGAATGGATTCTTGTTCAAGCCCCCCTCCCTATCATCAACTTAACTTCTGCCATAATAAGACAACTGTCATGTAGTGTTTGATAAAACATTAAGATATGGACTGTGACCCTTTCTTGTCAATTTAATGCTCACCCATTAAGTTTGTGCTTCAATGATTGTCTTTTCAGCCAAAATACCCAGGGAAATATTGTGTGAAGACGTCTTCAGTTTTCAGAGTCAGAAGTATTTTTAACACTTGCTAAACGCCCTTGAAACAAACTATGTAACTTTCTTTTACAAGAAAAAATTACTCCTGTAAAAATCTACAAAAAACTGCGTTTTGCCATGTTTGGTTTGATTGATATGTAGGGATTAATGTCCCCAAACCAGAATATGATTATGAGAAATGCTGTAGTGGAGGGCGGCGGAAATTTCAACAAACAGGGTTTTTTTAACGTGCACCCAAATCTGAGCACACAGGCCTACAACTTTTCCGCCTCCAACGAAAATGCTGCCGTCGTGGCCGGGACTCAATCCCGCGACCAGCGGGTCAGCAGCCAAGTACCATTTTGACATGTTTCCTCATGATCAATATTAGCATAAATTGAAACAAAACTATTTTGATACCATAGTCATGAAATTCTGCTGACAAATAAATAAAGACTGTGGCAAAAGCATGAAGCAACAATCGTGTGTCAGTTTTTTCCCCACAACTCTAATTCTGAGCACATGGCTTGAAAGGCCTCTGCTGTATTAAAAAGTGTTTGTTCAAAAATAATGTGGAACAACTTCTCCCCACATTCAAGCATCAAAGCACCAGTTTTGGAAGATATTGCAAATGGTCAAAAAACCACTTCACCGACTACCATCACAAGACCATGACCTCGCATAAACTTACAGGTTAATACTGAGGCACAGTTTCTGAGGCAGCCCTCAGAAACAACATTTTACAGAAAACAGAAACAACATTTTACACTAGATATAAATTTAGCTTCTTAATATTCACTCAATAAGCTAATTTCCTTACCCAATAATTGCATACATATTCAAAAGAGTGGGCACACAAACATGGCCACAGGTGAGTCAGGACAATTCAAATGCCAAGTAACAATGAGAAGGCTGACTAACGGAAAATATATTGCAATTAACCAGAGGACCATTATAAACCTATATTTATATCACGACGTAAATGCATGCCAAAATACGAATCAAGCAGTTCCGTACAAGCACAGAAATGAAGGAATGCATCTAATGGTTAAGTTTGGCATAGCGGCAGGTGGTATTGCACATTTGAGCCAGCCATCGATTACCTCAACAAATAAATCAAAAACTGAGCAGGTATCTCTCACATATACCAACAGGCATGCCGTCTAGATCGATATCTCCACTTGCCTTGTGTCGTTTCTAGCTTTATATGAACTTTTCCCAGTTGATGTTAGTGGTGTCTTGACTACTCTCTCGAGTCCATGTTTTCATGTTCAGCATTTTAACATGAATACCAACCTACAAAGCAGCTCACCTCTCCTATTTGACTTAAGTATACAATCTAGAATCACCACTTGGGTCATTTGATCCAAATATAATAATAGGGTTCTAAATGTTAATGTCAATTCAAAAGAACTTTGGCCTCTAGCATTTTTGTCTCCTTCAAAAGTGCAACTGCTGCCCTAAAGATCAAATACACTCAGTGCGGTGGTTGTTCACATGGTAGCAATGCTGTAAGCATCGTAAGATAAATTTTAGGACTATGAAAAGAGATCTAAGCAAGACACGCAACTGGCAAGGAGCCACATAATATCCGGCCTATAATCTATTTCTGGTAACCTAGAATGGCGTGGCACAAGCCATGCACCTCGAAACTGCTCACCTTTTCTTTTGAACCAAAGCTTAGTAGATTCAATATTGATATATACAGATTGCTCGGAAAACAGCAATTAGGTTGCCAAAAAGTAAAAACCAAAAGAACAATAAAAGCTCCACGAATAATATAAATACTTATTGGTGCAAGCACACACAGAACACCGCTTTAGATGGTCTATTTGAATAGGTATTAGGTAAACGAAGCAGTAAAGCAATGAACTCTCAGCATTGTAGCTGCAAAAAGGTAGAAAGGAGGTGACTCTAGTGCACTGAAAAATCTATGAAAGTACTATCAACAGAAAAGGCAAGGTAGATGTTGAATCCACAACAATGGCAAATTCCGTCTACGTCGGTACTTAACGCTTGTAATTAGACTGATGACTGCATTTGTCGGAATGCGAAGCGCAGTATGAAATATTTCTTTCAAATTTACATTCTTAGACAAAGTGACAATTTAGCTTCTTCGAGCGTTTCGTGTCCCGCAAAATTTCGCCGTTGATGATGCATATCGAACATACTGAATGTTTTGTATAATGAACTCATGAATATTGACAGAAGCTGCAGACTATTTCACAGATGAGCGTTGCAAAATATACTTCAACAAAGCCATGCAGTGCATGAATTGACCATTCATACTTGAAACGTATAAAACTACTAAACAACCCCACCGTTTGAAATTTCTGATGGCTGCAAAATTATAAAGTGTGAGCACGTTTCCACAAATTCTGTGTTCACATAATAAAATGATGAAGTCATTGCCAATAAAACAAACATTGTAGCTGTTTTCAGTTTCTCACTCGGCTTCTCCATTGTTCTCACCGTTAAGAGGATAACACATACGTTACCATCATTAGTACAGTCACATGACATCAAAACATGACGCCAGTGATCGAATCAACATGCAGCCATCAACTAAGCAAGTCTTCTTTGATGTGCCGCTGTGCTAGATTGGCTTGGTGAGGAAGTACTATGCAAGGCATAGGTGAGATAAACACGTATGCAGGACGCCTCACAACAACACAATCTATACGGCGTAAATTTAGGTCTAAAACACTATTTCATATTGCAGAGAGAACCAACCAACAGTCATTGCGAAGTCACATCACTTCACTAGCGAAGAGTATACACTGGTCAGAAATGAAGGAGTCCCCATAATTGTTTTGCGAAATGAAGTTTCTGTGATACTCACACATTGTGATTTCCGCAGAACTCTGTATGAGTTAGCAAGAAGGTCTGGAAGGTAATAATAAAGACAAAGCCAAAGTTGCCAAATGGCACTTTGAGAAAATGTAAAACACACTGCGTAGCGAATTACTTTTGGAGACATATTCCTATTAGTTATAATACAGACAATAAACATGCTCACTCTATGTCACATAGTTATGTCTCACAACTTTGCAATAACTTTACTGTGGAGAGTGCACTGTCTGCGTAGCCCAGAAGCAGCCGGCCGGTGGCTCTCAGGCATCTTATCGGTTCGTTGAAAAAAACTTGTGGCTCACATCCTTATAGCACTGCTTTTGGGAGGTACTTCCTGCGATACAAAAAGCAGCACAACACAATTATGCTCTGTGAACACTCACATGAAATCCACACTGGTGCCTTAAAAAAAATTTAGCTACAGACTGTGCTACAGCAATACTCTCTTCTGTTATATTTCGAGCACCTTATTCTTTTGCCTGGCCTGATTTCTTGTTTTCAGCCATAAGACAATTCAGCAAAAGTTAGCCTTTAGTTGGGGAGGAAGCAGTTGAAAAGCATGAATTTATTATACAATATAAAAATATTAAAATAATTTTCAAGATATAAGGATTTATAATTCTTTTATAGTCCGACCACCAAGAAATTAGTAAGCGAGCTGTGACGTTAAGGTTTCCCAAAATAATGGCGTTTCTTAAAAATGCAATATCTAGGTAATTCAGCTATTAAAATGTGCTGTTACTACTGACTTTGTAGCTGCAAGTGCCTGCTGAATCTACTTGAGTGCACTTAGCAAACCTGTGAAAAGATATTGAGAGACGCAGAAAACCCAGTTCTCACTTAGCTGTCCCCATCGCAGCATCATGTTGCTTCACATAAGGGTTCCTGGTATGCAGGATGCAGATGCATGAACTTTTTTGCTATGTCATACCGCAGTGAACGAGATTGATATCTGCTCTAATGAAGTGAGCAGCTGAAAAATGCTCCATTCTGCAATGAGCTTTAAATATGCAGTATTGCTAGTTACCAGTCGCTTCACTGTACACCCACAACAAATTTGGCACCATCAAGATTACGCAGCTTCTGAACCCAGTATTCAATGCTACCAGCTGCATTCTCTATTTTTAAATCTAGATGCATAGAACATGCACATACTAGCCAATTATTGCGCCAAGTAGAACAGTCCATTTTAGGTATTCCTTTAAATTCATAGACAAGATTGAGGCACATGACTCAAGCCTGTTGTTTGGCATCAGAGATGAAAGTGTGCTTCAAAACGTACACAGAAGAAGTAGCAATTGACCTTGAAAAATGGTAAAAATTAGGTTTTCTTTGGCAAAAAAAAGTCGCATACAGTGAAGACAGTCCAACACTGCAATGATAAGGTTATAAATTTCAAATCGGGTCACTATTCTTCACACTATGCATGCATTTACAAGAAACTTAACAATACTTGCTGCAATAAATAATGAAATTTTACAGTTTTTGCGAAATTCCACTTGCCCATACCCTCTTCTATAGAAAGGCAACACTTTGCGAAACCAAGTCAGGTTTCCAAAAGAAATGCGCTCGCCACGGTGACAAATAGGTGGAGCACCCTTCTGCAGCATGATGTATTGGAACTAAATGCTATGATAACAAAAATTTATTATAGCAGCAAGAGCCGTTCTACTGCTGTTTATGTGAAGCAATCTTATCTCAGTGGGATGTCAAAAAAATTATGGCCGCCTATTAATGAGTGCAAAACCACAGTGACTGGTTGTGCAGCAATTTCCAACTATGCTCATTCATGGAAACTATGCACTTCTCCTTCAAATAAAGGTTGCACATAATGAACTTTTTGGTATAAATAGTGTTAAATTGGTAGGTAGCATACATCCTGATGTTACTCTGTATACCCTCTCTTATTTAGCAAGATTTTCACTTCGACATTCAAGCTCAAAACAACACTGTTCTTCATTAAATGGAACTTTGTACGTTACCTTTGAATTAGCCCCAGATGCTGAATAAGCACCCATTATGTGATGCATGGCTCACCGTGTGGTAAGCACTGCACAGTTCCTCAGGGCACGTCTGTTTGCTACCTGCAGTACGCAGCAAAAACTTAGGCATTAAAAAATAAAAAGAAGTATGGCGGCATCATTTCGTCCTTTGGAGAAAGAAACAGGGGAGGGGTAGTGAAGCATTGTTCTTCATAAGTTACACAAACATGCAATACTGTTTTAGTTTAGCGCAAAAACAGTATAAAAGAGTGAAAATGCTTAGATGATACAAGCGGCCACAAAGAAGGCAGAAAGACTCACTGGGATATTACAGTGTATATTCTGTGCCATCTGTAAAAAGTACGCAAAGTGCTGAATTGCACCAACACTTGCACACTAGTAGAGCAATATAAAACAACGACGTATTGCACTCACTTCGCTGTCCAGTTAGTGCTTTAGAAATTTCCTGAAGTTGCACAGACTGCAAAGCAGTCTGGCGAAATTTCAGTATACTTATTCTGACATGCACCACTGGCTTCAACTCTAAGTGACAGCACCAAATGAAGTTATTTAATAGTGGCTTGCGACTAATGCCAAGTTTAAATGTTTGAAAAAAATGCAAGCATATGTCAGTTTTATGTTCGATTTCAATTGTTAATACTTCCCGTTGTCACAATTTCTCTTATGCTTGTTATCGAGATAAGGGGAAAATATTTTTAAAATGTAGTATTATAATATGTTTACCAGCAACAGTCATCCTACAATATAACAAGTAGTTCTAGCGCTATCACTGCAAACATTGAGAGCAATGACAACGGCGTATCTGAGACACCTTCACAGTCCTTCATTCAGCTGCAGGGCGGCAGCCGCTAAGTGAACTTTCAACCCCTTCTTTCAGAAACCGAGTGAGCTGCTTTTCTTCAAAAAACTTGCGGGCGCAAGGTGCAGACATCGACGGAAGTAGGTATAGCCCTGGCAACGAGGACTATACCGCTCGGAGTTGATGTGCCGGCACTCTAGCCAAATCTTTACAGCAAAGGCAGCTTCTTCGTCCCTTTTCGCCTTATGAGCTTGGGAAGCAGCCGTGCTAACGCAATGTGCATCCCTCGGGGTTGCTTGAATCAGGCGATTACTTCCGTATGGTGTTTCCGTTTTAATCTTTTTAATGCACTTTTTGCTGATAGCCAAATAGTGAGAGCCGGGATGCACAACAGCATAGGTCACTGGCGCCCAACTGAGATGAGAAAATTACTTACGGACACTGCGAAAATAGCGAGAGCCAAAAATTCAAGTTGGACGTAACCTGTGCAACTACTGCCGGCACAAGACCTGCAAACGGTAAAGTAAATGCGGCCCGCAGAATAGGCCGCGCTAGTATCCACAAGTGTATTATTGCAATCAGATGCAGCCCTACTGTCACACCCTTGTTAAAGTGGCTTGTTTATCTACACGGAACACGCCAACAGAACTTCGGTCCTGTCGCCTGATAACGCAACTGCAACGAAAAGGATTGGATGTGCAGTTTTGACGGCCACTCACCCGGGACGTAGAGGAATTTTCGCCAACTATAACGCAATGCGTACTGTAACACGACACTTGACCGCTGCTATCAAGCTCACACCGTTAAATCCCTGCTAACCAACTTCACGGTCATGGGCACGCGACACCGTTGCACAGATTTCGCGAATACGTCAAAGCCGCGCGTAGAAAAAAAAATCCACTTTCAAGTAAGCCTTTGTGAGACTTCAAAGCAGCGTAAACATTAAAGGCATGAGCATTTTGTCGGCAGTCGAACAGGTTGAAGGCGGGGAAAATTCACAAGAGCTGTCAGATAGCGCATACCTGATAGCGAAATCCACAAAAATTGTTCGCTGGTCAGCTTGACGGGAAAGCTCTATCACAATGGTGACTCGAAGCAGTGAAGTTAACGACCACCTTGCGCAAACTTCTGTTGGCATATTGTCTGACTTCACGCTACCACAGGTTAGCGTATCAGAATAGGACAACAAATACACGTCTTGGTGTCGAAAATCGCGGTTGAACATGGCCGTTTTTACGAGCCCTTGACCGCGACGTTCCGCCGTGACAAGCGTCCATGTTTGCTCGCGAATGCCGCGCATGTGTGACCTTGCATGCGCCGCGTCATAGAGAAAAGAATTTTCCCCTTCCTCCATGCGCCGCGGAATCACGTGACCACGTCGAAGACATGTGATCGCGAACCGGGCCGCCAACGCAAGGCCGCTGAATTGGCGCGCGCAACAGTGTTCTGGTGTTGCGAAGGGTCCCACGCTCTGAGGACTTTCTTGTTGAAACATTATTGAAATCATGCTTTGCGGTTGCGGTATAAGCTAGTTGTAATCGCTACAGGCTCCAATGCAGCACAATACCCTGTGTACATGAGAATAAGACAGCTCGAAGAAATGCTGAAGCTGTCGTAGTTAACTTTCGCATGCAAAAGCATTATGAGTGCACCATGAAATTATACGTACGCGCTGTTTGACTGACGAGATCAACTTACGCATTCAGTTGTGCAAAGCACGTATAAGCTATTTTTTGCCTGCCATTCTGACCACTTTTTTATTAGGAAGCAAATAAGACAGAAAAAACTTCCTTACTGAGAATAATAAAAAATATTGCGCACCAGCCATGTTATACTTCAACGCACTTGGTTTTTATTTGTTGTTGTATGTGAAATACGACCAACCTGAAATGCTTGATGATAGGACATAAGCATTTTCACATCACAGCAATCACAATAATTCGAAAATACCCTCAAGTTCAAAAGAACGTGTGGAACCCACCATTGCATCGACACGGGTTTCAAGGACATATCAGGGATGATAATGAGCTGGAACAACCAATGTTTATATGTTCTTTTTGGCAAAACAACCCACTTACAGCAATGCCGCTGTGCCGCATTATGAGTTATACCAGACAAGGGTGACTGCTGTGCATTCGTGCAAAAAAAAGGGGGGGGGGTAATGTGACGGGAGCGTAATCTTCGAAAAGAAAGAAGAAATCCAGAACAGTTTGCGACCCAACACCCTTTTATTATTATATTATGAGGAACTTCTTGTCGTAGGTGTCTCTAGAAATTTCACTATCTGCCATTTAAAGAGATAATGAATAAAAATTGTGAAAAATTGACGCAAACACGGAACTCTTGTTAGAAGGTGCGAATGTTCCGCTAAAGAAAGCTCACACACTTTTGAGCAATTTGGTGGTATTTTTGGTAGATTGTCATTCCACGGTGGCAGCACGTCACCTTTGCTGTCACATTCTCCGAGGCGCACGCAGGGTGCAGGTGTTCAGACCCTTCTCTTCCCTTTTCCCACCTCTCCTTTCATCATACTCTTTCCTTACACTAAAGCGCTGATGCTTTAGCTCCAAGCCGGGAGCATTACTCGCTGCTAATGCTGTTCGTAGTGGGGTAATTCCACACCAAACATACTAGCTATTTTGACGACCACCTCAAATCTATTCGAAGAAATATCCTGCTGATTTACTGCATTGAAAGAAGTGAATATTACAGGAATATTTCGGGAATATTTCGGGAATATTACAGGAATTGTGTTCACGTCAGTGCCTTTTGAATTTATTTGAATGTCGTATGGCTGTTGATTATGAAAAAAATTTATTTTTTTTAAAGTGTCACTCCCTCTTTATTACTATATTTAGTTTACATACTAAGTAATGGTAACTGTGCAAGGTGTTTTCAGCTCATCATTATTACTGCAATAATTCGGCCACGTACATCTAAGAGAATTTAGCCGAAAGGGGTTATGTTTGCTGTTTTTCTATTGCATCATCGTTATTTTAATGAATATCTTAAAAATCATTAATAACTCCATAGAAGGTATATTTTGCAAACAATTACCCTTGCACCCCTCCAGTCGCAAAACTTCACAAGAAAAAATCACAAATTTACCAAGAATCATCAACTTTGTCTACATTGAGGCCGATTGAGGCCCCACGTGGTGGTCTAATAAAGATAACGTTTATATGCGACTATAAGGCAAGTAAGCAGTTCTTTTGATATCCCAAGTTATCATGACAAATTTTGCATCGTGGAAAACAGTTTTTGAAGTTCCCAATTGACAGATATCTTTTCATTTTCTTATAAGGCAGCTTCCCTCTTGTTCCCCGTGGCCATCGCATTCCTCAAGACAGACAGGGTGTTTCCTCTCTGCCTGAGTATAAATCGAAGACATGCGTCGCACGCAAATGATGTTTTGCATGCGCCCTTTGTGCGACTGAGATGGGTTGGCTTGCTTCCCCTTTGCTTCAGCCGCGTTCGTAGTGCTCGCTCGCGTTCATTTACTCGCGGCTAGAACACACGATTTCCGGGGGGCTGTTATGAATTTTGACTTCATATGGTGCGTGACGGCGATACCTATATCGGAAACACGTCAAAAGTATTCACATCGCGGTGAAAAGAATAAAGAGTAACTATGAAAAAACGAATGTTAGTTACACGCACCCAGGCTAGCTGTCAACACATCGTGCCCCCTCCAAAAAGTTGCCTGGTAGTGACATTTCGGCTAGAAAATAGGTAATCAGAGTAGCCAACTTCTAGACTTTTCCATAAGCTCCACTGAAGAAGGACAGTGTCTCCATACCTACAATAACAGCACTACGTTCGTTGGCATCCACAGCAAATTTTCCCTTCCTACGAACTGAGAGGCACCCGTGAGCTTAGCGTTGATCATTGCCATGCCTTTGACGGACAGTTTTTACAGTGTAGCGCTACGCTGTTTCTTATTTTATGTCGATTTTTGTAGTTAAGATGCTGGCTGCCATTCTCACTTTGCATCGCTGTCGACTACGCTTGCAGCATGGGCTGAGATTCAGGATATTTCACTTCATTAGTGTACGTAGTGTAGGGACCGCAACGGTAATCTTGTCGGAGCTTCTTTATTCTGACTTTCTCTTCTTTTGAGATGATAGGAAAAATGCTTATTTCATGGAATGCGTGCTACTGAGATGTTCTGTCTAATTATTGTTGGAATATTTTTTTTCACATCCCATTGTTTTATTGCCCTGAAATGACGCATTCTTCGAAGTGTCTGCCACCCAGTTTCAGTTAGTCTGAGCCAGTTAGTCTGTACTATGCAGCTTTTCGCCCGAAGGACCCCCAACAATTTCGTTGGAAAATAAAAGCATTTCTGATTCTGACTTCTGAATCAAGTTAAGTTAATTTGTGGGCTTCGATGAGCTCCTCCCAAGTGTTGTGGAGGCCTTAGTGTAGGAGTCGCTGCAAGGAAGCACGCTCAGAGATTTTTATGGCAGTTTTGGTAGCCATTCGTATAAGGGTAGGGAGTTTTTGAATTTGAGAATTATTAAGATACAAGTCAGGGGTTTTATAAGTAATTCTGCTAATGTTGAGTACTTGAATCGATTTGGGGGCATCGTGTTCTTTCAAGCCGTGTCTTTTGATTGATATCTTTCGTATCAATTGTGCAACTTGCGTTACGGTTGCTCGAAGCTTCGGCGATGTGGCTGTGCCCGATCCGCCGTTGGGGATGTCTGAGCCATTCCAATTTAGGGATTTGCACTTCTTTCAACCAAAGCTTTGGTTTTGGGATTTAACCTGTTGGCAGCGTCCCCCTTGTTCGAGCTTTCAACAGAAAAAGCTCCGCCTTGTCTGGCGCACATGCGAGTCCACAAGCATTGTGGTAATTTTTTTTGTGGTCCACTGCCTCTTGAAGTGCAACCTACTGAGCTCCTGAGGAGCCACCGTTTGTCCGGATGGAGAGATGATCTGCATAGAGGGCGTGGCTTACTTTTTTAATTAATTTCATTAAAATTGGCAGCTCAATCATGGCAATGTTGAAAAGGAGTGGCGAGATGACGGAGCTTCGAAAGGTTCCTTTGTTTGCCATTTCAAACTAATGTAATTTCAGAGTGCCAAGGCGCCCTATTGCTGTTCTGTCGCAACGACAGTTTAGTACGTAGTGGTACGTTTTTTAGCCACAGTGCGTGTCCTAGAGGTTCCTCAGTGCCACGCTTTTAGAAACATTATCAAACGCTCCTTTCACGTCCAATTCCAAGACTGTGCATTTGCTATGCTTGTTTAGGTGATATGACGTCCTCTTTCAGTTGCAACAGGATGTCTTGCACTGACAAGTGGTGATGGAAGCCATACATTGTGTCAGAAAAGTATATTTCAAGCCTGAAGTTAGTATGTTTAGGACCACACAGCTTATCGTCGCAGGATGTCAGGAATACGGGTCGCATCTTTCCTATTCCCAGTGATTTGTTAGGCTTTAGGTGTCATTATTATTGCAGCATGTTTCCAGATTGCCGGAACAGTTCCCCTTTCCCAGCAGTCGTTTTTAGCATTTAAGAGGTAATCTCCCTTATTTTTGACTAGGTTATGGAGTGTCCTGTTGTTTATGCGGTCTGTACCTGGGGTTGTGGTTCGAGTTGATTTTGTCAATGCCGTTTGCATTTCTTCCAGTGTGAACGGGGGATCGTGTTCTTTTTTTTTCTTGCTTTCCTGTGTATTCGAGGTCCAAAGCAGGAACTAATGCAGGTTGGAACTCTCCTGTAAGATTATTCTGCAATTCAACAAAATTTCAGCTTCCGAAACCCTGCAGTTATGAATAGGTTTTGTCAGGTTCTTTGTTGGGTGTGTTATGGGGCGAAGTCATGGGTCGTGCGTCCTATATGTGTGTAGTAGTAGTAGTCGTCGCTGTAGTAGTAGGTAGACAACTCTACAGCTGGACTAGCGTAGCGGCACGCGCACACAGTTTTGAATTCCGGAGGAAACCCGTGCACGTTGTTCATAAACAAAAAGATGGTTGTTTCTGATGAACAAGTATACAGAGACGAGTATTGGAGACTTACTCTGCAATAACATTTGTTGCGAATTTGATGCTTACTTAAAAAACTAGTGACAGAAGGACGCACTTTGAACACTATTTCACAAGAAAAGGTTGCCACGTTTAACTTGCTTAGAGTACCCTTCTTGGTTTTAGCAAAGTTTAGTGAGATTTGGCCAGATTGTTATCAACTAGCGGTGGTAAAAGTGGGAACTAGACATCACCGCAGGTCTAAGAAAGTGCACGTACGCCACTCCTGTAGTCCGGCTGTGCCAC